TGCCACAAGCCAATAATATGATTTGGCTTGTGGAGATGTTCTGAGTGCAAGTGAGATTCATTCCTTGCTCCTACACCAACCTATGAGATAATGCAAGATTTCACTTCTTTCTCCAGATGCAAGGCACAAAGTTGAAACGCAGTGCTCTTGCCAACACAGAAGGGAGCTGGACTGCTCAGATTTGGGAGGGGACATGTGTCTGGGCTGCGTGCAGTTCGCAAGGTTCATTGAATTTCTTGCTTACCTGATCTTTACATTTAAATTGTTATAATGATTCACCTCTTCATTTTAACAGAATGCTAAATGTATCATACCGCCAGCATCAGCTAATACAGTTGTTCTAAGGAAGGGCTTCCGAAAAGGTTTTTTTGTAAGTGCTTGATTTCCTGAGATCACATTTCAGCCATAATCCCGCTATCAAACTACTTTGTAGGCGACACCCCTGAAGTATGACTATTTGGCTTAGAGGAAAAAACACCACTTCAAAGTGCTTCCTGACAGACTAACCTCTTTTAGCTATCTATCTGCACAACACTGGTAAGGAAAATGCCTGCAAAATTTGCTAAACTCGGTTTGGAGATACCGAAGTTTATCAATACAATATTACTGCAAAACACAGAGTCCACATTCTACCTATAACACATGTGCAAAACCCCATAAGAAGTCAGTATTGCATAGCTGACTTCGAGTGCAAAAATACCTCCCTCATCAATCCTTGCAAAAAGTCAAAACGTCAGGCAGGAATAAAAATCTCTGTAAAATAAGCAAAATTCAGGTACTGTTTTGCTTCATAAAAAAAGAAAAATTAGCCACATTCAAAATAATCTTCCTCCAAACCACTAACTGCCTAACTAGAAGAAAATCAAGTGGTGAAATTGAAATATTTTCCAATTACCAAATCTACACAAAATGGCAACACATCAGGAGAATTAAACCCACTAAAAATCACCTAGGAAGCTGCTAAGTGGGTAGTCTTATATACTAGAGAACTGAGGAAAAGCAAAAGCTATTTGCATATGTCAAAATACCAAGGACTTAAAAATTGCCAAATCCTCTTAAATTTTCTTGACAGCTTGCACATACCACTTACTATTTAAGATCATCATAAAGCAGTAATAGGAGTATTCACTGTTAATTCTTTCATACACAATGAATATAAAATTGCCAGTGCTCCTTACAGGAATAGAAAGCCACGGACAACTTGCAGAAGCATTACTGCTATCTCAAGTGACATCAGAACAGGACAAGATTACCATTTGCTTATTTCCAAAGAGATAATGAAAAGCATCCTGTAGCCATTGCATATTTACTTCATTTTACAATATATAAAGCTGTGTGCTCTAGTTGTTTATTTTTCTTTCCACTGTGGGTGGAACACACAACCTTTAAATTAGATTACTTCAGTTTTCACAGCACTTGGAAAATACATGTTATGATCCAAGTGTTGCTATCAAGAAAATGGGGAACCTGAATATTCTTTTCTGTAATGTCTGATCACTGATATGCTAACAACTTAACTCTCCACGGAAGTATACATACTGGACTGCACACATATCCTTTAAGACCAGAAACCAAGCTTCAGCTCTGAACAACGAAAATATTCATCCATTTAACTGTTATCTTTTGTTGGCATTCATTAAAATCTCTCAGAAAGATTACTCTGGGCAGATCCTCAGCACAGTGCTCCAGAATGTACTCTCATGAACTCTTCAGCTGTTTTATCACTGCCCTGGAGAATCTTTTCTCTTTAACCTCAATCTGTAGGGGTTGTTTTTAGTGTATCAGGACAGGATACAGCACTGGTTTAATAATTACCACTACAATTTTCATGTAAACAGACTTTGTTGCCCCAGAAAAAGTGTTCCTAAAAGCTTCATTAGAAGTATCTAATGTACTGAGAGAATTCTGTTGTACAGGGGTTTTTTGCTTATATTATTTTATTACTGAAGATAAGATAAATAGACGGTGTTCATTGGTAGCTCATCTATACATGTGCTTATTCCCTGAAGTCACACTCTGAGCCCCTTCTTTTTCTTAATACCACACTACTTCCAAAGCTACATAACAAGCAAGGAAAATAATGAAGCTGAACCCTTTCAAAAGAAGCTGTTCTTGTGAGAGAGAAGGTTTAATCATGTTCATCACCTGCATTCATCCACACCTAAAGATTAAGAATTGATGTATGCAGCAAATAATAGAAGTAAAATGCTGAAGAACAGGGAATTAGATTCCTGATGATTATCATTAGAAGACAGAACAAATGACTTACTGGAACTGGATAGCAACAGAGTATATTTCTGTAAGATTGCAGTATACTTTTAGATTTTTATATTCAACACAAATTCTGGGAAATACCAGAATTTCTACAAGTTTGCAAATTCTCAAAAGACAAAATGCTTGTTCAGTCTTGCCTAACAATTACTACAAGCAACAGTAAAACACAGATTCAATATTAGTCTTGTTTTGCTCTTTGACGCTATATAACGATGCTATATATTCTTGAAGGGAACTATAGAAAACACTTCAGTGTCTTATCTTAAGGGAAAAGGAAAGACCAACCAGAACCACAAAGCAGAAGATAAAAGCCAACAACCACCAAGAAGTGAAGGAAGCCATGAGAGATAGGAAAGTAAAAGCTAAAAACGAGGCTTCTAAACAGCATTGGTTCATCTCCTAACTGTCAGGGATATTTGCCTGTCATCAAAACTTTGGAGGCAAAATGGTAAAAAAAATGTTAAAATAATAAAAGCAAGTCGTTTTATTCTAGTGTGCAGATTGTGTTCAAGCTATTTTAGACCTGCACCTAATTAATAGCAACAGGAAATTAAACTATTAGACAAAATTAGGAGATAAAAACTCCCATTAAGGTCCTTGTATTCCTTGCTTTCACAAATAGGCTTTGGCAGCAGGGTAACAGACAGAGATTAAAAACAGATTAAAATAAAAACGGAGTTTTAGGTATTCTTAGGTTCTTTCTCCGGGTGATATAAAATGCTATAATCTCAAACAAGAACATCAAATTCCCTCAGAGAGGTGATCTTATTTCCTCCTGTTCACCATGCAGCAAAGAGTTCTTCAAATGACTAGAATGGATTGCACAATAAGATCAATAAAAGATGTCCCACACAAACTCTGGTCATCTTGCTAGATAACACATATGACTTCTTGTCCCTTTAGTATTCTGTATCTCAGTAAGTGACAGCAAAATGAGTATCACCTCACTGAGCTACAGAAATTGTCCTAAACTCCCTTTACATTGTTACCTTTCTGCACACAAGAAGATACTTTCACTGTTTTATCTAATCTTGCAAGCATAGCCCAGACATGTTATACATTGAATAAGTAAAGAGAATTTTTAGAAAAGCAGTTTTTTCCAAATGTGAGGAATGAAAGACAAACCTATATGCAGTTAATATACTTCACCATCTGTTTTCATATCACTGTGGGGAAAAAATCAGAACTGATAAATTTTTTCAGACACATATTGAATGCATTTCTTAGCCTAGATTAAAACAGATGATGTACTTGAGGATAAAACACTACCTAAAAGTGTCATTCACCTGTTCCTTACCCTTTAATCCAGGTGTGCTTGGGTTAATTACCCTTTGCTCATTCCCCCCAAGTTGTGAATTAACATAGATCTTCAGATGATTAATAAATGCTAGTATGTCTTTTCTCTAAAGGGATTTATGAAAAAATGTCTTCACTTGGGAGGGCATTAAAATAAGGTAAAAGAATAGACCTATAAACCAGACTGCATCTGCATTAGGGTCCGAACAGTTTCTAAATGAAAAATATTTAAAACTGAATCACCACAAGATGTATGTAAACTTTCAACTAATACTCAGGTCCCCTGTGTCCATCAATTCTTTGACAAAAATGATAGGGAGAGCACAGAATTTGTCAGGGAAAAGGCAGAACTTTGTAGGAACAGAAACTAAATTAATAGCAGGGGCCACCATCCATCCCACTGCTCAACATGAAGGTGCTACAACGAGTGACATACAACAAACCAGCTACACACTAAAAAGGCAGTACAACAAATCACAGCCAGTTTCAACACAATCAGCAACAAACTCACCTGAAGGCACTGGTACCATTAGTAAGGCAATTGATAAAATTATACCCTGAATCAATATATTAAAAGCAAGTCTTTTAGTAGGGGATGACAACTGGAATACATTAACATCAACAATATTAACCGGGGCCTTGATCCATTCTGTACTGTTCATCCATAATTACAAAATTTTAAAACAAAAGTCCTTTTTAAATGGATGATGCAGTAGCATATTAGGGCATTCTAAATATTTCTCAATCTTTTTATAATATATCTTAAGCATACACTTGACCAAGAAGAGTAGAACAAACCATTTGAAAGTATTCAGCTCTGCCAGAGAAAGAGGTAACACCAGTAGGTAAAGAAAAACCTGCAAAAAAATCATCCTGCTTCCTTATTAAATGCCAAAAATAAGAGCAAACTTTGCATACAGGAGATTTAAAAAAAAAAAAAAAAAAAAAAAAAATCATTCTTTTTGCCATTGGTAAGTTTTTAGTAGCAAATATAGTTCACAACAATATTATTCACTAATTTTGCAGTTCTGTAATGGGTTTTCAGCATTTTTTTGAAGCAACAGGTTAGCACATGAAATAAAAAGCCTAATTCCCTTTGAACAAAGGCAGTCTTAATAAAGCATAACAACCTTGATAGGCACAAAAGTATCAACTGTGACAGGAAATTTACATTGTTACACAGCCCATATGAGGCTTTTCATAAGAGACCAGGCTTCATACGAATAAGACTCTGTTATTATACAGCACTCTTCTAGATGTTTTCAAAACTTTGGCACATTCAAAAAATGCAGAGAGAGAGAGAGAGGGAGAGAGAGAGATGGACTCTAAAAAATATAAGCAAAGGGCATTATAGAACAATGAGAAACCATAGTAAAACCCTTTCCTGAACTGTAAAATAAAAGCAGTAACAAGGAAGAAAGAGAAAGGATGCTGGTTGATTTTCCTTGAATGTTGTCACTTGCAACAGAAGTGGCCTGGATCACAAAGCAGTTTTCTTTCTAAGGGCAAGGCTTCTCTACCTTGCTGTTGCTGGCTGGACATGACCAGGGTAAGATCTCCTTGTGCTCGTGGCTTGCCTTTGTCTAGCCAGGAAGGACTGTCCTGAGCCTGTACTAGCCAGTCTATCTTCTGCTGCTTTTTTATGCAGAGTCATTCCCTATGGACAAAGAGAAACTTCTCAGTGAATACCAACACATAACACTGAACAACTTTACTCATTCACTTTTTGTTTATTATCTCCTTCTTCACCAATACTGACTAAGCTATTTTGAATTTCAAACACGAAGCATCATATTTTCAAGGATAAAGCTAAGATACTCTTCCGAATTCTTTGTGTGTTGTTCTTTTTTTTTTCTCTCCGCCCCTGCCCCCCACCCCCCAAAGTCATTGTCCAGGTTTGGAGTAACTGTTGAGAGGCAGGTCCCCCAGTGTCCCAGAGCTGAACATATGCTTCTCCACATAAACGTACGGTAACTGGATGACTATTTTCAAAAGTGCTTCCTCTCCCCACCCTGGCCCCCTTCAGCATGTTGAGCTAGAAGAGTAATTATTTTCAGAAGTAAAGTAAAGTATTGTCTTCCTCTGTGAAAATACCAGCCCAAAATGCAGAAGCATATCTTGAGAGAAAGTATGTTTTCAGCAGGGTAAATGCAAGGAGGTAATGAGGGAAGCTGTGATGGGTTGTGTAGTTGTGTATAAAAGCAGAGGCTAATTATAGAAAGACAGACAAAGGTATCAATGCTCATTTTAGTGTTCATGAGAGGCTGTTGAATCACAGCTCTTAGCTCAGGCTTGTCTTCTGTTTGTCAGTGGGACTACTGTTACAAAATTGGTCAAGGACACTAGTCTCTTGAAAATGCCTTCAATATTTAAAGGATTCAAACACTCTGCTTAAGTACCATTTTTGGCTTACTATTCATGGACATAACAAGAACGTAGAACAGCAAGAAGGAAACTCTTCCAAGGGAAGACAGAGAGGAGGAATTTGAACTCTATGATGAAGCAGAATGAAACATGAATGTTACACAAGTCAGGGATTCTTCCTATCTAAAGAACAGTTTCAATACAGCCACACTTGTCCAAGAAAAGTCTTGAACACTTTCGACAAAGGTGAAAAATCTCCCAGCACACAAGACCAGCAAAAACTGTATGACTGCACAGATCACTTCCTTATGGTTTGAATAATTTAAGTGAGGGTCTTGCCCCTGTGCTCGCCCTTTGCATGGGGCTAAACTTGCACCCAAGTTAAAGGGGTTGTTTCTCAGAGTGCTTACTGCAGCAAGTAAGCTGTATTACTTTTCTTGTGCCCCTTCATTAGAAACAACTGGAAGATTGGAGAGTGGAGAATCAAAGAAGAACGTAAATTTGAGCACTGTAAGCCAGGATAACTGAAGGGCTGGAATTACAAAACAGTAATCTGAGGTATCCTTCCCTCTAGAAAGTGCCATTTCTGGTTTTAAAACTTGAAAATAATGAACGCGTTCTTTTTCATTTACCCCAAGGTTATCATAGGAACATACTCTTATATAGTGATAACTTAAAATTATTAAAAACCATTTGTTTCTCTGTCTGTGTGTTGGAAAATGCTTTTCGAACAAAAAACTGTAAATTAATGAATATTGTTATAAACAACCCAGAAACAAATAACATTACTAGTTTCTTCCTGTCTGTTTCTTTCTTTTTGTTTTAATAAAAAGTTTGGGAGATTCTTACCATATTGTACCAGGCACTAACAATAAATTTCTCCTCCATTTCTCTTTGACTTTTTGTTTTTTCATATTCTTTCTATAAAACAAACATCAAAAAAGCATACATTTAAAACCAAAGTATAATAAAAGTATTAGTCTACACTTAAAAAACAATGAGGAAATACGCATCTACCAGGAAACATGAGGATTACTACCTCCAATGAATGAAACATTCTGTCCCGCTCCTGCAACTGATTTTTCAAAGCCTGAATCTCAGGAGCTGCACCTTGGTTCTGCTTAGGATCTAAGGTGCGGATGACCTGTAAGAGAAAACCAGTTTGTTTTTAATTAAATCCTGCAAGAGCAATCTAATTGGAGGGAAAGACATCAAGGAAGTACAACCTCTTAAGTCAGGTTAAGAAATAAAAAAGTGACTTAAAACATGTCAGTGGTAAGAAATGACACTCCAAAATGCGAAACAGATGGATGTGCAGTTTTAAGAGGCTGACTCCTGTAAAACAACCTTGACAGCCAGCATGACAGAGGCTCTGCCTCTGAACATCAGCCATGATACATTAGAGCATCTGAACTGGCCTCTCTTTTACAGGACTGTGAAACAAAATTACCAATAAGAAAAAGTGACACCTAAGACTATCTCAGACTCACATATGCAGTTCCTACCCCTAGCTGCATTACTTTGGGGCCACAGTGGCAGAAACATTTTCTCAAAGATTCCTCTAATTCACTTATTGAGCTACCCGTCAATTCCTCCCGCTTGAGGAAGGACCGCTTTGGTCCTTATGGAAAGATGCTATGATCCACCTATCTGGGGTACACAGGTGCTGTCATTTCTAGATAGCTCTGTTAAGCCAAAAAGCATTCTGAGGTATTTGCATGATCATTATGTTACTAATAAGATGAAGGGACACCTGGTTATGTTTGTATGTGGCATCCATCACAGGTAGCATGAGTGCTAGCAAACACAGAGCTAAACCAAGAACAAATCCAGCAAAATGCCTAGATTCCTAAGCCTTTAATAGAAAATAGCTTAAAACTTTTTAACAACCTCTGGATATATTAGAAAGAGATTTCACATCTTTTGTATTTCTATCCATTTCAGAATCGTGTCCAGACGCTGAAAGAAAACAATGCTTTAAATTTTAGTAAGTCATTTTTACTGAATGGTACTCATGAAGGAAGATTCATAAAAGTGTATTATGTTTCTAAGAAAACACACATTAGACCTGGATACAGTTTCTACAGTGGAAGGCTATAATGATTGTACTCATCTTCACAAAAAAAAAAAAACCAAAACTGAAAGTTGGTAAGATCACAAAAAGCTAACCTAATGAAAATAATTAATGCTACTGTTGTATAAAACACCCTATAGTAATACAGTACATACAAATAAAACAATCTTATTGAAAAGGGAAATTGTGACTCTGCCTTTCACTGGAATACTCTGAGACACAGTCAGCAACATAAGATGTAAAAAAAAAAAAAAAAAAATTAAAAATTATTTGGTTAGATTTCCTGAAGACTTTTGCAACATCTCACAAGAAGTCATTGAGGAAACTACACAAAAGTAAAGAAAGGAAGCGTAAAGTCTTGCCAAATTAGGAACCTACTTACAGATTCTAATTCAACGATACACAGCCATAGTAAAGATCTTGATACTACCATGATCAGATGAACAAAGACACTGGTATGCTTTTGAGAAACTCAAATAAAATATCAAGGTATAGTAAGAGAAGAAATGGGACTATGATTGAAACCACAATATTGCCATTTCAAAGCTGGTAGTATACCCACATCCTCAATATCATACTTAAATATTAGCCACCTTCTCAACAGAAGCATATATATTAAACAGTAAAAGCAAAGAGAATGCTGAACGTCATCAGAGAAATGTAACAGCTCTCAAAGGTGGTTCAGTTAAAAAGATCACTTTACTTGAAAAAAGCATCAATAAAAGAGTCCATATTGAAACAGTTTCTAAACCAGTTAGCTAAACTAGAACATGAATAGAAATCAGGGGCAAAAGATGAACAAAGAAAGCAAAATCAAATTTAAATTGGTAAAGATGGCTCTGGCACATATGTAATTACCTCTGCCTGTAAATTCTGAGCCCCTCAAAAAGAATAAACAATTTATGTGAGCAATTAGGACCTGATGAAATCTGAAGTAGCTAAAAGTTATATTTATAAAAAAGTGTATCAAATTATTTGCTCCAGGCAAGACGGACATTACTGACTGAGCACCACAAGAAGCCTACACCATCTAGAAACACACATAAGCAGATCCAGCCACCTGTGAAGGAAAGAACCCCAAACTTCCCTTTCCCTCTCTGCCAAACTGATAAAACCAGAGTTTGTTGGTCCAACTGTGCCTGTACTTGATGTTACTAAGCTATATTTGTGTGTTCAAAGAGGTGGAACTCTTCATGACAACTGTGCCAGAAGTCCCAGCACAAATGCCAATTAAAGAGTACTTCTGCTCACAGGGCTTCCTTCCCTTGAGTTAGTTTAGATGGGTGGTTCTCCAATTCTAAAATACAGCACAGCTATTTCGGTTATTTCTATACCACCAGTTCTAGTACAGACACTGCTTTAGCTGATCTATACATTTGTCACTCAGAGACAGAGGTCCGGCAGAATTTCCGCAAAGAAATAGTTTATCACAGCATTACAAAGGGTTTAACACCCTCTCCTTGTCACCAGCTGACATGAAAACGTGCTCAACAAGGTTTGTCTGGGTAACTATCAAAAATCTGTAGCAGTGGGTATTTGTACAGAGGCATCAGAAGGGCTTATGGATAGGTAGCAAAAGGGGATAGTCATGAACAGAAAATCAGGGTAAAATCTTCTGTAGAACTAATCAGTATTAGGTACTATAACGGTAAGAAGATACAAAAAACTCATTGGGCCTTCCTTCTCTTTTACTTGCTAGTGTGTATACAGATACCTCCTTTATTTTTATTTCTGCAGAATGGACATGTGGTGCAGTCTGTCAGAGAGGGATCATTAACGTGGAACACATATACTTACACTTTTGGCCTTTTCCAAATACTTTTTGTATCGCTCTTCCATTTGCTTCATTTCCTCCTCCTTTTTCCGTAAAGCTTCTTGCAATTCTTCAATTTTGAGTGCTTTATGTCAGGAGATGCACACGTTGGAAAATAAGATAATTATATTATGTTTGTTTTCATGTTTTTCAACAGACATTTAAGGCACAGTTAGAATTTATTTCAGTTAAGAAAAGCTAATATAAGGATCCTGATGTAGCAGATACCATAATTTTAACTACTGAACAGCTCAGAAACACATTAAAAATGTGTACTCCTATCTATCATGAGATGGCTGTTTTGTACACAAATTTTGCTTTTTTTAAAATCATGAAAAAATAGAGAAATGGAATCATAAATCAATCCCATTACTGAACACACTTAGAAAATTAGTTTACTAATGAATTACATGCTCCATAATATCTTGGTATTGTAACTCAGATAAATATGAGTTTTCCTATTTTATGTAAGAGGAATAATTCTTAACAGGCACAACTCTTGCTTAAATCTGCTAAACTGTAACACTGGACACAATTTATCAGGCTTGCGACATGAATATACTCAATTTAGTTTTTCCCCCACGTTTTCTTAAGCAGCAATGCAGACCAGTAGGAAAATTTCATTGCACAGCCTTTTCCTGTGTTGATGTAAGAATATGTGAAGCCACTATTGCTTATACATCTTCTATACATCTTCTCAGATCTCAAAAAAAAAAAAAAAAAAAAAAATTCAATTGCATCATCCTGGATCAAATAGCATATAACATTGACATTTGGTTCTCAGACAATGTTAGATAATTGGCAACCCTCAGTCCATCTGTTTTGCAGCCTCATTTTGAAATGTTCTTTCATGTTTTTCCTACAGTTTTCTCTCTAAGCACCTGGAAAACAGTAAACTGGTAACAGGACCAAGTAAGAATTTCATTGATCAGTAAGAGGACCAATAGCAGATAGTCTCCAAGATTGCAAGAATCCATTTTTCAAAATATGCTATGATTCTTGTACAATGCCCAAGCATTTTGGCCATATCCAGGATAGTTAAAAGAATCTGAAAAAATAATTCACAGACATTTCCTGAGCATGGAAAGAAAGGAAGAAGGTACAACTATTTTTATTTTACCAAGACAAAAGTTCAGACCCAGATTTTTAAAAAGCAACTTGTAATTTCAGTAAACTAACTACAGAAGCCTTAATATGCCCTGATGTTTAGAAGCTAGTGAGTTAGAAAACTTGCACTGAAAAGTTATTACACTTGCACTGAAGCTCATCAAGTATGACACGATTGTGTGTTTATTAGCTACTCATGAAGTCCCTGGACCCCATTTCCAAGTGTTCTAATATTTCCTAAGACATGGAACTTATAACATATTCTACAGTTTTAGCTCAACACAAATGAAAATTCTTTTTGGATACACAATGTATGTAATGAATACTGAACTGATATTTCTATCTTCCTCGATCTCTTTATGAATAAATTCACTTTGGCACAAACCAGAAAAGCTGCCATTGGTTGCAATCTTTTACCTTTTCTATAATAAGTAGGCTTGGAAAAAACCAATCTACCTCCTTCAACACTTCTCACAAAAAAAGTAGCATTAAAGTGCTAAAAAACAACTGGATGCTGGGTTCTGGATACCATCTGAGCAATATGACATATATCCTACAGCATCTTTGACCAGTGTCTGAAAATTTTCTCAAATTATAACACAGTTCTGAAAACACAATGAAGGAATAGATATTGGTAGTAAAAATGACCTCCTAAATTAGGCAGCAAGGATCTCCTAAATTAGGGTCTTAGGAGACAGGACAATTCTGAACAGCTGAGGTTCAATGACAGGTATAACAGTGACTCGGTATTTCTATGGCCATTGTCATTTCCTACTACGGTGGTCTCTAAAATGTGATCCCCTGCATTTCAAGTGTTAGAAGCATCTTTTAGGTCACCATTGCTTCCAGAGAAATTAACAACACACACAGAGAAATTAACAACACACATATCACTGCCATTTAAAATGTACATTTTGTTTATCTTGCACCTCCTGTAGGTATTATAATTACAGACCTTGCCCATGAAATTATTTACAAAGAAAAGAAATGGACTGCATAGGTAACTCACAACTGTTATTGCATCTTGGTTCCAAATCCTCAATAATAGCTCGTTTCTTCTGTAGCTCATTGTTAGCTTCATGGAGCTTCTCACTGTTACAAACCATAAAAGCACATATTGTTTTCCCAGTATTATTACTGTGCTTGAATGAATATTAAGCAATACAAAAAATCCTCAGATAGTGATATATTTCTGAGAGCACAATTGATTTTTGCTGTGGGGCATGAGGACAAATTACAATGTCACTGTGGAAATATTTGTTAAATAAGCTGAAAAACATTACGGTATATGGAGAACTGTAACAACAAACAGTTTAATTCCCAGTAATTATAAATTTAATTTAGAATTTACAGTTAATTGTACAATGCGTGCCTACAATGAATACTCATAATTGAGATTACATTGAGAAAGAATGCTAAACCCAAAGGCAACAGAAACTACTTTTTTTATTGCAAGCCAGTCAAAAAGCAAACAGCTCTTTGCATTTTAGGGAAGTAAAAGAGGGCAGAAATAGCAGAACAAAATGATAACACTTCCTAAAATGTTAGCTTTTAGCCATAATATATACTAAAAAGTAAACAAATTAATTTTGTTTACATGCTTTCCTCAAAACAGAATTACTTACTCCTCTTGAGTGAAGATTTACACAATGTTAAGCAAAGTTTTCTAACCACCACAAAATGATGGTTCCTTCATCGCTCTTATTCCTTTCACAAGAGTTTTCTATGAGATGAAAATAGTATCTGAACAGCAGATTCCCAAACATTCCTGTGTTATCTAATTTCTCTTAGTTGTATATTTTCCAGAAGCGTGATTAATGACTGTCTGACTTCCTTACCATATGGAAAACATAATTTCAAACAGCAAACAAAATAGGCAAACAAAATACTTACAGATGTTCTTCAAGTTTCTTTTTCAGAAGAATTGACTAAAATAGAAAGTTAAATGTTTTATTTTAATATATTGCAGAGAATTAACATAATTTCAAAATTATTTTAAAACATACAATTTTGACATTCTAACCAAAATCCAACTTTTTACTTCACTCAGTTTTAGATCACAACTGTAAAGCCACCCTCTGTGGTAGCAATCCTTCTCTCCACAGCTGTGTGACTTTCCTGAAATTGGAGAGCTTTATAACTTTACAAATATTTTCCCAGGAACTAGATCAATAAAAGCAAGATCCATAAACAAAAAAATTCTATGGCAGTTGTTTTAATTTCTTCAGTACTTCTGTAATTAGACTTAATAAATTAATCTGAAATTGGAAAGTGCAGCAAAATTTGCTAGAAGAGCTGTCCTACCAATATTGCAATGCAATTTGTATGAAGACATGTAGCAAGCCAGTTGAAGTAAATTCCTGCCCCCATAGAAACTAGAGGGAGTAGAGTGTTTCTGACTGGACTATAAAAGAAATTTTACCCTTTTTCTGTTTCTCATCTTTATTGATTACAGACACGTAAAAATTATCATACAACTTACAGTGTTCCACTTTCTGGTTAAATCACATTTAGATAAGCTCTTTGAATAAAAGCTTCAAAGTAAATTTTATTTTAATTTTAAACTCACTTCATACACAGTGAGTATCTTTCAAAAAACCAAACCCAATAAATGTCTATAAACTGAAAGTAGTGTTAAGTAAATAGAAAGCCATACTCACAATAGCCTTGAGCAGAAGCCCATGCCAAGAAACAGAGATCACATTAGTATAAAGCAAAACAGCAGCCAAGAGAAGAAACTATTTAGAAAGTCATGAACAGAAAAAGTTAAAGCTATGCATTTTTTCACACATGCGCATTTTTCTCCTCTGTTCTCATGAGCAGTTTCATCCTGTAACATTTTCTAAAACATACCACTAAAAACAAAAATATAAAAACAGTAAAGAAGCATATTTGTAAATCATTGTGTTTAAACCAGAATTTCAAAGGAGAGCAACTGCTATTTTGGAAAGTCATTTTATAACAAAAATCATACAAATAACAAAACAGGAGAAAATATGCAGTCTGTTGGGCTACAACCAAAATTAAGAGATACGTGTGTTTTTGTGAAGTGATACTGGATTGTGTTACTGCCACACTGATTGAATACAAGACAAATGTAAAATACTTAAATCAGAAACTACCTTTTTGGTTGGTGTTTATCCAGTACCAATCACATTGGAGGACTAACATGTGACTGATGGTCCAGAATGCCATCAAAATATAAGATAAAATCATCAACAAAATTACTTCATTGCTTTTTCTCCAACGGTCTTTCAACAAAGGTTTAGACATCTGGCCAACAGGGACAATTACTGTGTGCGCCCAAAAAAGCTTTTAGCTTTGTTATAGTGTAAATACTTCAAAATATGGTCTTTCATCACATTCCTGGGTCATGGTTTTTCATTATTTCAAAGTTGGATTTTCTTATCGCACTGTAAGAAGTCGGGGGGGAGCATGTAAAAACAAGCCAGCATGTCTCTACTGACTTCAGAGTCAGAAATTTGTAGCAGCTAAGGATCTGCAGGTTTTGACCATTTGGTGTTTTTCTTTTCCAGTCCTTTGAACAACTGCAGCAACGTCACCTTTTCTGTAACAATAAATGTTTGTGTGCATCTTTCCTGATCACAAAGCATTTGAACTGACACTATCACTTTGATCATTTAGGGGATTGTTGGTTGGTTTGGACAAGAAAGGAAAAAGTTGGCAGCAGTGCCCATCTTCCTAAGATAAGAAAATAAAAATTGAACTCAGCTTTTCTTTTGCGATCCTTGTATTGCACTTGGCTTTAGCTTGGAACAGACACAACTACTTCTCAACATTGATTTCACTATATATTTTCATATATATTATTTTCATGGTACCAGCATTGTTGTGGGAGTAACCCCTCTCCCATCTAGACAGATCATGTGTTCTCACGAGCAAGAAACTAACAATGATAAACAGCACACACAATTAAAAGAAGCAGGACTGAGTTCACCCAGAGTAATTTACCCAAGACACGAGATTAGGAAAAAGAATAAAAGGTAAAATGTGCAATTTTAGCCACCCAAAGATCATGTATATACTTGTAGCAAGGCAGATAAATTAAAATAAATTACTCTAAAAATGCGCAAACATTACTTTTTTTTTTGTTTTAAGTCTCAGTCAGCTTTAAAGCCACATATCCAAATCCCCTGCTCCTAAGAAGTAATTACTATAATTGTTGTTCTCTCATAGGAAGACCAGTCTCTTAAAAAAAAATCCCAAATACAAAAAAAAGCTTTATCTAATTTTGAACTAGTTTTACATTTAACTTAATTCAAATGTTTTATCTGTTCATAATAGAAGAACATCTCTACAACAAAACTGTAAAAATCAGCAAATGCACACTGGCTATTTTGCTTTTTCCTCCCAGTGCTACCAAGTTCCACTTACAAAACACAGGAAAAAAATACTTAGTATGGTGTGGTTTTAGAAAACAGGTATCCTCCCCAGTATTTAATTGTTATCTTTCTTTTACATCAAAAAACCCACAGAAATAAAGCATTTTTGCTGGAAATTTCTTTCATGCTTAAACAAGCCAAAGGAACAGGTCTGTCCCCTTTTTGAGGAAAACGTTTGGTTCTGTTCTGCATGTTAAGGCCACAGGCAGATGGCTAGGCTCTGGCTTGAGGTTAAGCTAACTTATCAGGGTGAGGGAAACTACGGCACATGACTTGAGAAAACTGCTTGATGAGACTGGTAATGCTGTGTGAAGATGACAAAAATTATAAATAGCACCGTTAGGGATAGTCAGATTTCACAGACGCTAAGAGTAATCATAGAATCATAGAATAGTTTGGGTTGGAAGGGACCTTGAAAGGTCATCTAGTCCAACCCCACTTCTGTGGGCAGGAACATCTTCAACTAGGTCAGGTTGCTCAGAGCCCCGTCCAGCCTGACCTTGAATGTTTCCAGGGATGGGGCATCTACCACCTCTCTGGGCAACCTGTCCAGTGTTTCACCAAATGAGCAAACTGGCAAAACTTCACAGGTAACCGAACAGGTAACAGAATTCTGGGGACCTTTTAGGGAAGTGCCAAGTCAGGAGGACTTAGTAACTGTATCAGTAACAGCATATAAGGCCAAGATTGCGTATGTAACAGTACGAGAAACACCAGATGTGGTATGGATTTAGCAAGACTAGGTCCAGTGGAGTAAAAGTAACTAAAGGCAGGTTGTTTATATAGGAAGGGATTAAGGCAGAGCATGGGAGAACAAGGATGACAAAAGAGAGCGATAATAAGGCATGCAAATGGTGTAGTCGAAGCTGTTCAGGGTACCTGTTGAGCAGCCCTGCACATGACCACTGCATTCTGGAGGACAATAAATCACACCTGCTATTCTGACCACACCAGGCATGTCTGAGTTGATTCTGTAGTATGCAAGACTAGGGTAAGGAGGCCTTTCCCTGGCTAGCAAGACAACAGCCAGGATGGACTAATCATGCATCCCAACAGGATGTGTCAGTGCCCATTACAGGCCTAATGGCACTGATATCTTCCCAACATCTGCCTTCCACTGCACTTCAATACAAAATCAAAACTGCTTCCCCATGTGGACCTTGGCAAGCAGCATGTACCATTGCAATGATACTTGCCTGCGTTAGGATAGTGCTTTTACTACTTTTTAGGCAAGCCTAAAAATTACTTCAACTTTGAAAACAAACAAAACTAAAAAAACAAAAAACCCCAAGCCCTCATCATTTCTGGACTGAATACAAACGGGATCTTCAGTTTTCTGGATTCTGCATATTTACAGTATAAGTATACAAAAATACTGATTTAAGTGCATTATTGCAGAAAAGCAGTGAAAAACAGAGGAAACATGCTGAAAATTATGCATCAATGAGCTATAAGCCATGTCTCTCCTTATCCTTTTTCTCATCCTTCTGAAGAATCACTCCTTTTGTAAGGATATCTTAAGGATAGCTCAGGTGGACCCAGCCCAACTTCCATCTGCTTGAGCAGCTGGCTGTAACTTTGAGGTTTGCTCTACTTTGTGTGGGAGACTGGATGAGGTCTCCATAGCTTCAGAGGTTCTTGCAGCCTCAATACTTCTCTGAGTCTACGCTCCCTCTTTTGCTTCTTCAAGAATAAATTAAATCCTACACACCGAAGTCAGCAAAACAGGCCATGGGATTAGTGCCTATAAAGCACCACTGGAATGGTCAGACCTACACAGAAGCCAGCAATTGCATCATGAACTTGCCAGCTCTGATTTGACAAGGGCTGCCTGGTACACACAGTAGGCTGTACCATGGCATTGTGATGGTGGTGTTTTGCTGTTAACAGAATCATCTCAAATGATGCCTACATAGGCTGCAACCAGTCCTGTAAGTAAGCCGCAGATACGTCCTAAATTACTGTCCAAACCATAGCCTCAAAAAGGGATACAATTACAATTGCAGTAAATAAAGCTGAATTCAATTAGACAGAGATCATTTACAATACTCAATATCTGAGAATAATTTTTTCATATTCTTGCTCACCCTGAAAAATCTGATTTTCGCCAATAACCAAGAAAACAAAGAATATCTCAGAATCACATAATAGTATGGACCTATTTTAAAATGCATTCTAAAATGCATTCTAAGTTACTTAGGAAAATAATCTTATTTGAGCTCGACTAGGTGTTTTACTTTCATACTGTTTATTCTGAAAATTAAAAGGACCAGCTAAACTAAACACGCTCTTAAATGAAAATAAGCAGCTAGTAAAAACTTCAGTGTTTTATATAAATTAGTTAAAACAAAACCACAAAGATAGAAAGCAACACATTACAACTTGTTGCCAATTAGCAACACAATACACTGAGATTGTGAGCATACACTGTGCATGTACAGTCCAGCAAATCACTGCTTTCAAGAAAGTTCTAGAGCTTCTTCTCTCAAACACAGGAGATGGCAAACACAATTTTTGAGTGGAAGACTGAAAGTTGTTTTCCACACTAACTCTGCCACGTGTATTCCTACATTAAAAATAAAGTTAACTCTGTATACAGAAACAGAAAATGCCGCATTATGTTGAGGGCCTAATTGTTTGACTTTTTTTCAGTTTTGGCCTGCCTGGCTTCTTGCATTATGAGATACATTTACATCCACAATTACAGAGCTTCCACTGGCAGCAAAGGCCTTCACTTTCATTACGAAAACTAAACCAAAAATAACTTCAGATAGTTTACTAAGACATAGAGAATTAACATTTCCTTAATTCCCTGCAAAACTCTCTATTGTAATTAATTAATTTTAATGCTAAGTTTACTATTGGAACAGACACAATTCATCAGCTAAAACATATCTGATACCTTCTCTATGTAGGATGATTTTCTATTCTAGACAAATGTCTTACTATGTCTTATATCCTATTTAGAGAAGCACGATTTAGTGCTAAGACCATACGAGTAAATATGGAAAACTATCAGAAATCTCCATTTGCATATTTCTTTTACATATTTTTTTACAAAAAGCTCAAAGTTTCAAAAATGGTAACTACTTGAATGTAAGCTTGATGTACATTTCTACTTACATCTTCAGCTTTTGAACCTTGATCCTGCAAAGATTTTTGTAGTTCTTCAACCTGGGACTGCACTTCTAGAAGTCTCTGATTTACCAATCTAGGAAAGAGATAACACTTTGTTTTTCAGAAAAAAACACACAAGTGCAATAGGAAGCCTGAGATTTTTAGTGTCCAATGTTTTCAGGTCATCTACACAAGAGATGCAATACTGTATTTTATTCACAGAAAATTTACAACAGTAGTTAGAGCATACAGCAGTTCCAGAGATTATAGTCTGTAGTCATACAGAACATTCTGATACTCTTCCAAGATAATGTAAATGCATGTATTAAGAAATCATTTCTATATACATGAAGCAAGAGTTTATAACAGTCAGTTTTACTGTGTAAGAGCTACTAGTTTACTGCTTTTACACAGTCACGGAATCCTATAAAACTGTGTTTTAATTTCTGCCTACTGCCTCTTGCCCTGTTACTGGGCATCACTGAGAAGAGTCTAGCTCCATCTCCTTTAGATCCTCCCATCAGGTATTTATAATCATTGATAAGATCCGCGCTAAGCCTTCTCTTTTCCAGGCTACATAGTCTCTATCCCTCAGACTCTCCTCATAAAAGATGCTGCAATCCTGTAATCACATCCTTGTGGCCTTTCACTTGACTGACTCCAGTAAGTCCATGTCTTTCTTGTAACGGGGAGGCCAGTATTGGACACAGTACAGTCAAAATTATATGGCATTGTTAGAAAAGTCAATTGAAATAGAAGACAAAACTTCTTACCTGTTTTCTGTCTCCAGTTCATTCTTCCGTAAGTTTGCATCATCAAGAAGGCTCTGCAACAAGGCGATCTTTTCATTGTCAGAACCTTCTTGGTTCAACTTTAACATCTTGTTCTCATGCTGAAGGCGAATGAGTTTCTCCCTAAACACATAAAATACGATTTTGTAGAAAAAAGTATGCCAATCTCTATAAAGAAGAAAACAGTTTACCACAGGAGGTATAAATACAACATAAAGACCATCTTTACCCATTTAAGGGAGACAGCTGAAACAACAATCATGTCTTCAAACCCCCAAATGCAATTCTGAATAAAGGAGTGGTAATTGCAGAAAGCACAACACAAGGAAATTGCCTGAGTGCCCCTATTAGATCTCAGAGTACAGCTGGACAGATTTATAGGTAGAATGTGGAGGATGCAAGCTTGGTGCCAAGTGTTAAAGGAGGTTGTAATCTGAGCTGTCACTGAACTACTGCATGAACCTGGGCAAGTCATTTATAACATTTTGGTCTGTTTCCATAGAATCATAAAATAATTTAGGTTGGAAAAGCGCCTCAGCTACACGTCTTTTAAATACCTCAAGGGATGGTGGCTCAACCACTTCCCTGGGCAGCCTGTTCCAATACTTGACAACCCTTTCAGTGAAGAAATCTTTCCTAATACCCAATCTAAACCCCCCCTGCCACAACTTGAGGCCATTTCCTCTTGTCCTATCATTTGTTACCTGGGAGAAGAGACCAACACCCACCTCGCTACAACCTCCTTCCAGGTAGCTGCAGAGAGCGATGTCTCCCCTGAGCCTCCTTTTCTCCAGGCTAAACAACCCCAGTTCCCTCAGCCGCTCCTCATAAGACTTGCCCTCTAGACCTTTCACCAGCTTCGTTGCCTGTCTTCGGATGCGCTCCAGCATCTCAATGTCTTTCTTGTAGTGAGGGGCCCAAAACTGAACACAGTATGCGAGGTGTGGCCTCACCAATGCCAAGTACAAAGGGACAATCACTTTCCTAGTCCTGCTGGCCATACTATTTCTCATACAAGCCAGGGTACTATTGGCCTTCTTGGCCACCTGGGCACACTGCCGGCTCATGTTCAGCTGGCTGTCGACCAACACCCCCAGGTCCTTTTCCTCT